GAGCTGTGAGTGAAATAAACCCTTTCCTCCCCAAGCTGCTTTGGTCAGGTGCTTCCACACAGCAATGGTAACCCTAAGGCACCAGCATCGGGGTTACAGATGCACTCGGCTGTGCCTGGCTTTCATATCAGTGCTGGGATCCGAACTCAGGCCCCATCCTGCTCAGCAAGCACTTCACCACTGAGCCAGCTCTCCAGCTCCTCTCATGGTTTCTGAGCCAGCCCGTTTGTAGCCTTGGCTGGCCTGAACTAGCCACGTAGACAATCCGGGCCTGATCTCTGTGGCAATCCTCCTGTGCTGGGATTATAGGTACACGCTACTATACCTGGCCTTTGACACAGGATTTCAATGTGCGTTAACTCAAATGGGCCTCAATTCATTATGTAGCCCAAGCTGACTTCAAATTTGTGGCAAACCTGCCTCAGCCTCCTGAGTGCTGGGATTACAGTACAGGATGCTAACATTCCCTGCTCTCCTCGGCCTCCCTCCCTCCCTTCTCCCCCATCTCTTTCCTTCTTTCTTTCTTCCTATCCTTTTGTTCTTTCTGAAAGCTAGAGGCCAAATGACTCACTCACTCTCTCTGACCAAGATCCTCCAGACTCTTGTCTCAGAACTTCTAGTCAATGCAGAGAGTTAAGTAGGTGTGTATGTATGTATGTAAATGTAGGCATGTTTGTTCGAGTAGGCCAAAAGGGGGCAAGGCATGCTGCCAAACATCTTTAGAACAGCAACAAACTTTTTAAAGCAATGTTGAAAATAAGCTAAACTTTTAGGAAACAACAAATGCAGAGGACTACTTCTCTGTCAAGTAAATCGGGAAGGGGAACCGCACACAAAGCAAAACGTGACTAATACTTCAGCAGTGAGTTCACCTCAGGCATTTCATGAATGTCACATGACCCACCCACTTTTCCTCCCGCACCTCTGAAGATTACCGTATCAGCAGCAATAATACCCTGTTGTTCAAGTGCCAGATTTGTATCTCAATAGCTCCAGCATTCCCGAATGCAGAATACTGCACTGTTCCCTTGGTCGTGGCTTCTCTGATAAGGTTAAATTTTGTTCCCTTCGCCTCCTCTCTTAATCTCATTCCACCCACTTCCTCTCTTCAATTGGTATCTTTTTTCCTCCTTTCCTTTCTCCTCTCTGTCGTGGTTTGCACAATGTACAAATTCATTGTGTAAACCATGCTACATTTTAACATCTTAACACTCAGTACAGACTGTCCACTCTCTAAAGATAGGCCAGAGAAGGAGAAATCTCAAGCAGCCATTTCTGGATGGCCTCTGGAAAGCCAAATTCATGATGTCCGGTAACACGGTTCAGAAGGTAGACTGGTAAGGGGCTCACCTGTAGAGCAAAGGCTTGCTCCCCAAAGCCACGGGCTTGATGGCCAGCAACATAAAATAAAACATAGGAAAAACACATTGTGGAGCATGGTGGCACATGCCTGAAATACCAGCACTCAGGAGACAGGGAAAACAAGTTCAGCACTAGCTAGCAGACTGTCGAAAAAACAAACAAACAAAAACCTACATACAGAAACTCACATCATGAAGACATTAACACCAGGAATTTCATGACCATCTTTCTCTTTTGTTTTCTTTGAGATAAGATGGCCTCTAATTCCATAGGTAGCTAAGGCTGCCCTTGAACTCTTGATCCTCTTGCCTCTGCCTCCTGAATTCTGGGATTATAGGCCTACACCACCACACTGGTTTATGCAGTGCTGGAGTTGTACAGGGTTTTGTACATGTAAAGCAAGCACTCGATCAACTAAGACACACACACACACACACACACACACACACACACACACACCTCTTTGGTAGGCCTTTTTAAAAAAGACTGATATTTCTAGATTGTATTCATGCCAAATTTGCATCAAAAAAATTTTATCTTCAATGAAAGTTAGGAAAAGGCAGGGCAAGTTTTCAGTCACATACTTAATGGGAAGACTCTTTTGAGGCAAGTTCTCATGTAGCTCAGGCTAGCCTCAAACTGGCCATGTTGCTGAGGATGACTTTGAAATCTTGATTCTCCAGCCTGTACCTCTCGAGTGCTAGGATTAAAAGGATGCAGAGCCACCCCCCACATTCACAACCCATGGTAATGCGCCTCCTTTCCTGTGATATGTGCTCTAGCAGATCTGTGAGCCTCAGAGTGATATCATCCTGGCTTTGTTTAGACACCTGTGCCTGATCCCTGGAGACCCAGCTGTAAGAGAACCACCAAAGGCAAGGGAGGGACAGGAGGAAAGGGAGGGAGACGGGAAAGGAGAGCAGGCAGACCAAGGAAGGGTGAGCACCTTTCTGTGCAAGGCATCACTAGGAAGGCTCTGCAGCTACGGTCAGGCTTAATGCACCCCAAGCCAACAGTGCCTCTCAGTGGGTGTCCAGTAGTAGACTATGCAAATGTGGTATACAGAGGGAATGAAGGAAGGAGAAATGCATCCCCACCACCACCACCAAGGAATTGCATGTGTTTCATTTGAGAAGACACTGGAGAAGATTAACCTGGACTTGGTGCCATCTGCCTGGAATCCCGAACCTCGCAGGTGGCAGGAGGAGGGTCTGAAGGAAGCAGTTCCTCAGCGGAGGGTCCCTCTTCCTTGACACAGACTGAGAGCACATCCCTTTGTTTTTCCCTCATCTGCTATCACTTTAGCTTCCTTCTTTCTCTTTTTATTTATTTATTTTTTCAAAGACAGGTCTTGTGTATCCCAGGGTGGCCTCTAACTCAGAAGATTTGTGACACCTGCTTTTTTTTGTGGTCCTGGTCTAAAACTCAGTGCTTCACACGCTAGAGCAGCACTCCACCAACGGAGCTATACCAGGAGGAGAGTCAGTGCTTTGGTTTTAGTTTTTCTGGTTTGTTATGTTTAAAAAAAAAAAGCAGAGATGGAAAGCCACCCTACACAAGGGGTGGTGGTGGTGGTGGTGTGTGTGTGTGTTAGTAGAAGTCAGAGAATAATCTGCAGCAGTCAGTTCTCTCCTTCCATCGTGTGGGTTTCTAGGAATCAAGCTCAGATCATCAGGCTTGGCAACAAACGCCTTTACCCACTGAGCCACCTCTCTGGTCTCTAAGGATGAGGTCTCCTAATCATTAGAAAGGACAACACTAGGTGTCCCTTTCATCACTAGAAATGCCAGCTGGAATGATCTGGCTGGGCCTGACCACAGTAGGGCCAGCCTGCCAGACCTGTTTCTAATCTCAAGATCTGGGTATGAGGTACCACTGTGGGAGAATGGATCTTCTCTAGTTGTCCTAAATCTTCACACAGCTCTGACAAAGACCATTCAACCTTCCTGTTTTAACCTTAGTTTAGAGGTGCCAGGTGAAAGAGAGGCTGCCCACTTACATCCTAGTTGACTGAAAATCAAAGATTTTTTTTTTCAAAAAAAAAAAAAAAATAATATCTTAGGGGGGACTGGAGAGATGTCTCACTGGTAAAGAGCACTGCTGCTCTTCCAGAAGACCATGGGTTCAATTCCCAGGCCCACACACAGTGGATCACAACCATCTTTAACTCCAGCCCCAAGGGTTCTGGCACCCTCTTCTGACCTCTGTGGGCACTGCATGCAGATGGGGTGCAGACAGAAATGCATCCAAAACACTCATACACAAAATAAAAAATTTTAAAACTGAAAAAATTAACCAGCATGTCTTATTATGCCAGGAATGGTGGCAAACACCTATTACACCAGCATTTGGGAGGCAAAGGCCAGAGGAATGCCTCAAATGTGGGGCCTGCCTGTTCTACATATTAAGTTCTAGTCTCTATCAAGGGCTACAGGGATGGATGCACAATTATGAGGGCATGAGTTCAGACCCCCGGGAACTATGTAAAAAGCTGTGCCCCGCACCTGTCACCTCAGTACCAAGGAGGCAGAGATAGGTGGGTCGCTTCAGAGAGCTCACTAGCCAGATGGCCCTGTGACCCTGGGTCAAAAATGTCGGTCAATATGGAGGACATTTGGGGTTCATCTCTGACTTCTACACAAATGCACATACACATGCATGTGCACACACATATGCATATGACACACCCACACAAACGTCTACACACACACACACACACACACACACACACACACACAACTAAAATACAAATCTAACTACATATCCTAGATATTTACTACTAATTTCTGGAATGCCACCTCAGTCGAATTTTGAAAAGGGTACTTTGGAAGTCTTTGTAAAGTACGAGCTCAAGGCTTTTCAGAAGTAATAGATAAAAATCACAATCTTTGGCCAGTTCTCAAAGCCCAGGAGAAGCTGACAATAACCATTAACAAAGTGGCTTACTGATCTAAGAGGCACCCAGGTGTTCTCTTTATAACTTGACTGAAATGCTCAGTAACAGACCTTTTATTAGCTTATTCACAGCCCCGTGCAGACATCACCAAAATCAGTTCAGACCGTTTTCACCACTGCAAAAAGAAACCAGAATTCCTCTCCTTCTCGGGCATTCCTCGGTCCCAGCATCTGGCAGCTAACGGACTTGTCTCTTTAGGTGTGCAATTTTGGACATTTCCTTACAAAATGGATCACTGCCCACTTGTTTCCCAGAGCAGCTGCCCGGCTTTACCGTGGGCCGGCGCGGGGAGAAGGAAAAGTATTTGCCCTAGCTTCCCAGAAGAGGGCCTGTTTCCCGTTCTCCACCTCCAGCTCGGCCTCGGCAGGGCCTCGAACTGTCTCCCTTCTCTGCAACGTCCCACCCTACGGCAACCAAAACATTATTAAGACCAAGCGTTGTAGGAAACAGTTTCGTCTTGGTCCAGGTCCGCCTCCCGGGCGCTCCTAAGCCACAGGAAAACATTGTAGCCAGCAGAGGCTACCTGGACCTCGTAGTTCCCTTTCCAGTTAGCCTCTCAGAGACTATGAGAAGCAAAACTACAACTCCCAGAATCCCGCCGTGCTATGGCGGCCGAAGAGGCCAATTGGCCAGCAGAGCCCCGCCCCCCTCGGGTTGGGCGGCCAGCCAGCACCTCTGTAAACACGCCGGGGGCCTGTCATGGGGCGGGTGAAGGAGGCGGTGGCCGAGTGGGGCGGCGCCTGGGGCAGCCTCCAGGGTCCGCTCTGCCATTCCTGAACTGGTCCGGGTCCCCGTGACCGTGGCTTCAGGGAAGCGAACTGTTAGGCGAAGGAGGAGGCACTCAGAGCCATATCCCCTTCTTCCCCGGGGCGGGGGCCGGGCCTGGCCGGCTGCGGCGGGGGAGGGCCGGGAGGGCGCCAGGCCGAGGCGGCCTGTCTGCGGAGATGGATGACAGCAAGGTAAGTCCTGGGCTGGCCGCCGCCGCCGCCGCCGCCTGCTTGTCGCCGCACGTAGTCCCGCCGCCCAGCCTCAGTTCAGAAGTCCACGAGCACTCACGAAACACCTGCCATAGATACCAGTGTGCCTCGGGCCCTTGGCACCCCGCCAGGACATTGGGGCGCACCGGGCTGCAGTTTTCTAGCAAAGGCCTTCTCCTCCCTTGCAGAATTTTCACTCCCGGGGTCACCGTGCTTGCTAGGGGTTCCAAGGAGTGCAAGCCCTGACCTGCAGCTCCAAATAAGTGAAGAAACTACCGTGCTTTCTTCTTTTTGCTCTTGTCTTGCCCCCTCCCAGCGTTTTCCAGTTGGGAGAGATTAATTAGTGCATCCTGAACTCGACATAATCACCCTTGGTGGTTTTCCCTCCTTCCCTCAGCCTCGCTCACTCAATGCCCCATTCATATAATCAGTTCACTCCCCCCTCCCCAGCCCGAGCAATTTTCCTGTGGTTGGAACGCTGCTTAGCTCCTGTTGCTATCTGGCCAGAGCCTGTAATCTAACCTCTAGAAATCATAAGAAAAACAGTATTTCCTTTCCCGTTTTAATCCAGTTTAGTGCCCCATCTCTAGCTATGTTTTAATCTCTAGCGCACTGTCTATGACTATAAAATAGCGCTCATTATGGGATAACTAATAGATTTGTGGTTCTATCTTCTCATATTACTCGTGCTTCACATTTCATGAAGATAGGAGTGGCCAGAGAGTTCCTTATTAATGTTTTTTTTTTTTTTTTTTTTTTGTTTTTTGTTTTTTGTTTTTCAAGACAAGGTTTCTCTGTGTAGCTTTGCGCCTTTCCTGGAGCTCACTTTGTAGCCCAGGCTGGCCTCGAACTCCCTTATTAATGTTTTATGATGTCTGGGAGTTGGGCCTTTTAAGGATTCAAACTTACCAATTTGTCTCTTTTTGTGGAGGCAGGTCTTATGTAGTCCAGGCTAGCCTCAAACTCTCAATAGCAGAGGATGATCTTCAGCTGATCCTCCTGCCTCTTCCACTTGCCAAGGGCTGGGATGTCCAATGGGAACCTCATGCCTGGCATACATTTTGTCAATATTTAAAGCTTTCTTCCCTATGCTTTTCGAAGTCTAATTCTTCATAGTCTGTTATATTCCTTGGGAAAGCTTTTCCTCTAGGACCCTTTAGATATATAAAACAACAAAAATCTGTTGCTCTTAAATTTTTTTGTTCCGCCTATCCTCAGACAGGTGGGGGGATCCAGTTTATCTTGGCTGATTGTTTTATTCTTTATTAACGCTTCCCTTTTATGTGGGAGGCTATGAAAAGAGAGATAGAAAGGAGAGCCCAGCACTGTAATCTGCCTCCTGGACACACCTAGGAGAACCAATGGCTTATGTAATTACAAACCCCTCCTCTTACAGGAAGTGGTATTTTCAAAATAGAAAGGGAGAGTTCTGAAAGTTTTCCAGAAAATATTTTTCCAGTCTTTGCTACCTTGATCTTTCACTGTTGATTCTGAAATGAAGGCTGTAAACTATATCCATTTTCTTTCCCAGAAAATAATCTCGAGGATGCTGAAAGAATGTAGTATTCACCCTTCCCAGATGGAGACTTTCACGGGAAGTAATTTCCAGTTGTATTTTTTCCCCAGACCTTTGAAGTATTTAACAGCCTTCCTAAGGTCTTCAATAATTTCAAACAAAAGAACATATGATTTTTTAATTACTTTATTTACCAAAAAAAAAACCCAAAACAAAACAAAAAAAAAAAACCACATACAGTTTTTTGTTTGTTTTCGAGGGGAGTGTTTGTTTTTAGAAAAAGAGTCTTTTGTAGCCCAGGTAGCCCAGGTTGGCCTCCCAGTTTTCTGTGAATCGAAGGACAGCCTTGAACTTCTAATCCTCCTCCCTCTGTCTCTCAAGTGCTAGGACTGTAGACTTGTGCTACCATACCTGGGTGTATGTGGTGCTGGGGATTGAACCTACGGCTATGTGCATGCTAGGCAAGCGCTCCACCCACTAAGTTACATCCCCAGCTCCACAGAGGTTCTTTTTGGAATGAGCACATGATAATGGGGTTAGGGGCAATTTTATTTAAATATAAAATTTTATTTAGTAGTATAACTTAAAAATGCTACATAATAGTGATTGTTTGAAACAGTGACACTGAGATTGCCTGATGTACTCAGGCTTCATTAACTAATGTGCCCCGGGTGTGTTCACCAGCCAGCGCAGACATACTGTTGCAGTAGGGAAAAAAGTAGATCATAAGCTAGAATCTAGCTCCTAGATTGAACACCTAGGAAGGAGGGCATGGGAAAGTACTGAACAATAGAATCAAATTCCTGGAGTCCTCTTAGGTTTGTTAGGAAGGAAAAGCTAGCTAGATTGCTGAAGCTCTCTGATCTTCTACCTAGTCTTAAATGAGGCCACTCCCTTCCTTGGAGGTTTGCTCAGACTGGGTTCGAGAAGTTACACCTAAGAGAGGTTAGTACTGACTCTCACACAGTCAGTACTCCGCAAATACAACCTTATCATATTACCAAGCAGAGACATCTGTGGGCTCTTACATCCTTGTTTTAGTCATTGCTAAATGACATTTGTAGCCATGTTTATACTTACCTATACCCCAGACAGGACAAGAGCATCATGATGGGGCATAAGATGAACTTGAGCTCTGCCCTTGCATTGTGTGACAAAGGTCACTTTCTAAGGCTTCCTGTGCATTTCACTAGGAAGAAAGAAAATAGAGATACCCTATTTTAAATCATAGAAGGTTCTTGTGTTTATTTTCAACTTTTATGTTTATTGAGATATTCTAAATCAGATGTGTTCTTGCCTTCCTCTGAGGAGGATTGCCCACTCCAACAGTATAGGGCAGCTTTGTTGAAGGAGTAGGTCAGCTGCTGGCCACAGTGTTCATATGGGCCACTGTTTCCTTCCTTCTCTCCACCCTGTGCTACACAGTACTGTGAGGATGTGAGGTTTCTCACTCTCTGCTAACCTTTTGTACCCATCAAGGGTCTCTGTCCTTGATAGTAATTCTAAATAGGTGGTGGTAAGGAGATTTAACTTCAAAACAAAACCCTGACATTCAAATCCTGACATTCTCCTCATGGCCCCTCAGCTATCCTCTGCCACATTTGAGCCTTCCTCCTAGAAGTGTCATGTAGTAAGCCAGCAATCTGCTCCTGTTCCTAGCCTCCTCCAGCAACACTTTCCACAGCACCAAGATAGAAGAGCCAGCACATCTGAATACGTCTGGCAATAGATGTCTGTGCACCTGCTTTTCTATCCATGAACTTATACAGGAAATTTGTCCATGAACTTGGGTACCTCCACAGTTGAGTTAGAAACCAGATCTAGGCATGGTGGCACATCCCTGAAACTCCAGCACTTTGGAGGTAGAGGCAGGAATATCAGGAGTTCAGGGCCATCCTCAGCTATATTTGGAGGTCAGAGCTAGCCAGGGACACACAAGACCCTCCTCACTCCTCCTTGCCTCCCTCAAAAAATCAAACAAAACAGAAACTAGGTGAAATCTTATTTAAGATGTTTTACTCTTTAAGGGCTTCAGGAAAGCTTGCTTGTTTGTTCATTAATTTATCAAGTACTTGTCTACCTACAGTGTACCTGTGGTAGGCAGTAGAGATGGAAATTAGTAAGCACTTGTAGCTATTTTAAAGGAGCTTTCATTGCTGTGGGTGAGGCAGACAATTAGAAAGGTGACTACAGCCAGGAGATGAAAAATGAGGGTGATGATCAGGCATGGTGCTGCACACCCTTACCTCACAACCCAGGCAGACCAAGCGTTCAAGATTTCTGGCAGTCCAGGCATGGTAGCACAAGCCTGCAATCTCAGGCAAAGGTAGGAGGATTTACATGCAAAGTTCCAGGCCAGTCATGGCTATGTAATGAGACCCTGTCTCAAGTAAAGAAGTTGAAGGTTATTGTCAGTTTGAGGCTGGCCTGGGAACACATAAAACCCTGACTCAAAAAAAAAAAAAAAAAAAGAAAAGGAAAGAAAAAAATACACACCCACACTCAGCAAGAGCAGTTTCAGCAGAGTAATGATAGGGCAGACAACAAACCATGTCCACCGTGGAAGAACTAGATAGCAGAGAAGCATACACGGTAAGTGTGGACCATTGAGCCCAGCCAGGCATTGCTAAGGTCCACACAGTGTTAACTGTACAGTACTACTTAGCTCCAGGGTCAAACAGAATAGCTCTGTGTGGCCCCAGCATAGACCTGAGGTGGAAAGGGGATGTGAGAGTTAATGCTGAGTTTAGAGATGCCTATGTTTTCTTCTTTCTCCTGATAGGAGAAGCTGGCAGAAAGGTTAGCAACAGGAAGACGTGGTTACACTCTCTTGCTTTCTGAAACTCTTGTTTTAAAAAAAAGTCCTAAGCCACACAGTGAGGGAAGTCCCTCAGAGGCCCAGAGAGAGCCACTCTCCTGCCATTTCTTGAAGGTGGAGAAGGGCAGTGGCTGGGACACAGCTGTCTCTAACCAGCAGGTAGTACAGCTGTGCTGTGCTTTTCCAAGGGAAAGGTGAAGTGAGGACCTTTCTCTCTTGGTTGAGGTTGTGGTACCACTTCTCTTAACAATGGGATCTTTATTGAGTTGCCTTAAGGAGCATTATAGTTAGAGATGTGATTCTAGCACTTGGGAAGCTGAGGAAGAAGAAATGTTGTGAGTTCAAGGATATTCTGGGCAACACAATGAATTTAGGTCAGCCTGGGCAATCTCAAAAAACAACCAACTAAAAACCACTAGAGCATTTGAATGTAAATAAATGCATAAAAGATGGCAAAATAGAGTTTTATAGTATATGGTCAAAGTGTTTATTGAGCATAAGAATGAATTTCTGCCTCTTCCTGTAAGCCACCTGAGGTGACCTGTGAAATTGTTCCTTGTACTCTTGACTCAGAAAAGCATGCAAACCAAGAGACTCACATCTAGAGCTGGAGAGAGAACTCCAGTGGTTAAGAGCACTGGCTACTCA